ACGCAAAGTTGACCAACAATCGCAAGGTGTGAAATCAAGTGAATAAAAATATCAATGAATGATCTGTGCTTAATAAAAATTGCTGCTTCAGATGTATTTGAGCGGCTGATGAAGAATTCGCACATTGGTCTTAGAAGCTTTGAAATAACGGTGCTTGAGTTTCCTTCAACTAAAAATAAAGAATGGATCAAGCTTTTTATTGTCTTTTTCGCATCTTAATAGGAAATAGGATTCGTTGATCTGAACCAGTCAACAACGCGGCTTTCATGTTTTTGAATCATCTTGGGTTATTAAAAATAGGGCCTCGAGTGCCTAATTAGAAATTTCTAAGCTCTCAAACGTCGGCCATTGGGGCAAACTAATTATATGGAAAGGGGTGCTAGGTTTGCATAAATAATGTAAATCTGACTCTAGGCATCATGAAGAACTTGATTATCACTCACCCTCGTCTTTCGAAGATGGAGGAACCAAGAGATTGGCCGCGACCCAAAGTTCAACAACCGCAAATAGTCGTTTCAGACTACTTGTTTTAATATGATCTAAGAGGTCTCGGATCGACAAGAGGAGGACGTGCCTTTCTGACGGCGCAGCTATATCACAATTCTAAGATAAAACGCTACGAAAATTAATTCTTACAGAAACTGATTCAGCTAATCGCGCGAAACCAGCATGGCTATTAGAGATCCTAGCCGGTAATGCCGTAACAAGAGGAACTTTGGACAACAGCATCCTTAGACAACCGCACTCTCCATGCCCTCGAATTAAAAGCAGTGAAGAGGCAGTGATGCCGTGCTTATTAACGTGATTTAAATGCGAACGAGGAAGAGATGCAATCAAACTAGAGACAGGGCCACAGAGGCCTTCGGCAGCTAGTAGAAGTAAGGGCGAATCGTCATTTTTCGAGTCCTATTAATATAAGCCTATTAAGTTACCTTGGCAGTAAGGTCAACACCCGCCCGGATTAACGTTTTTATTGCTAGGCCTATATTTTTAGAAACTAGGGCGCAGATGGTGTCGCCGGATTTGGGGCATTTGTTAAATGGCGAAAAGTCAAACCCAAGGTCGGATAGCGATTTGATCAGCGAAATAGAATGGCCGGAAGAATGAATAACATGTATTAGATACAAGGGATCAGCCTGTAACTTGTCCAGGCTCTTCGCTAGCTCATGTTCGCTGTTTGAGGGTAGGATTCGCGACATCAACCTACAATAAAAGCGCGGTCCCTTGAACACAAATTAAATATCTTTAATAATTTTTTATTTACAAATAAAATTAATATTGTCTAAGTATACAATTATACTTTGCACTAGGCTACACCGAGTAAATTTCGCCTATTTTTATTTGTTAGGCGGATTTTTGTTTCGTATGAGGCTGCATTAGGTTCAGCATGCTGTCGGTTGGCGGAGGCGCGCTTGTCTTGAAATCTTTCGGGGCAAAACATTCAAATAATTCACCATTAAGAGACGCAAAACGCCCACGTTTTACTGAAGAAAATGTAGAAAGTGAGACAATACAGACTAAGGAGAGTTTAGGATCACCACAACCTGTTACTCACAGCCTGTCAATTGTTGATCCACTCTGGGAATCATTTGATCCCACACCCGATGTCCGCGCCCTTTTTATGGAATTTAATAAGGATTTATTTGACAGCAAGCTGAACTCAGTAGAGG